ATTAATTTTACCGATTCGTTTTCCGGGGTCACTGTTCGGGAATCGTCGGGCGTTTGCATCTTTGAAGTGATCGCTATTTTGAACCACTATTTAATATACATTAAGAAATTTATAGATTATTTATTTTAAAATTTAAATTGCTATTTATTTACACTAACCAGGCCAAACACCTTGTTGAGGATGATTTCCTAGGAAACCGAGGCCAGGTATCTGCGCCAATAAGTCACCCACCGGTCCCAGTAGTCTAGGTTCGGGTTGACCCGCTGTAACTGTAACTGGAAATAAAAATTTAAAAATTTAATTTAATTTAAAATTTTAATACCGGTGCTAATAGCGACCACGATACAGATCAATTGATTCATTATTCTGATCTGGTTAGTTTATTTATTTAGTAATTATCATACAATTATGAAATGATTTGTTATCCAGTGAAAAATCTTTGGTATATATAGAAATCTTATATCCTCTAACCTGTTTATAAATTACCTTGATTAATTATTTATTATGTCGTAATAATTAGTTTACTTGTACTTGAATACAGTATTGTTATTAAATGACTTGAATCTAAATTTAGATGTCACATTTTTCATAATATATAATCTGTCTATTATAAAATTAATTATTTAAAAAATAATAAAGATCCTTTTACAAACAGTTTGTGAAATAGTAATTTTATGAATTAAAAGCATCCGTAAGCAAATGTTTCACATAAACCAATTAATTATAAGGTAATTAATTACTTATGTTACCTAGGATTAATATATTTACTATATCGTAGGTACACTTTTGAATAGCCAGTACAAAATATCAAAATCTAAATTGTTGTTTAAGGATTTTATTATTAATTATTTATGTCTAAAATGTTTATCTATTTTTAAAAATGTGGTTTTAAAATTATATCCTGCTAACATTAACGTATAATGTTTAGCTATTTTATAGGCGACCTTTAACTTATCACGTTCATTGCAAATTATATAATTGAAAAATACAAAATATAATAAATTATAAAATAATATTGTTATAATTGCCTATATTAAATAGCTAAACTAAATATTTTATATAATAACATAATCTAGTTTACTTACATTTCAAATAACAAAAAACTTTTAAAATTTGTAAACACAATGCATCTCGTAAATATTATGAAAACATTTATAATTAAAAATTTCGTTTACTATGCTCATTCGTATTATGTGTATTATTAATTTTATTTAATTACTTAATTACTTAATTTAGCAATTACTAATAAGTGTGTGTGTTTTAAACGTATAAAATTAGTGTATTATATTTTACTATAAATGCATTTGTTTACTTGTTTATAACATTATTTCTTAACATGTACCTGAATACTTATCTACTATTGCAACAAGTAAGTGATAAAATATAAGGATTTACAAATAAAACACAACAAAAGGTTATTCTATTTTTATCAATTTCACTTTTTATTAGAAAAGTAAACAAGTCTATAACTAATTTACTAAATAATAATTATTATCATGGTTCTTGCGAATAACCTCAAACGTGATATTTACTTTAAAAAGTTATATATCACAAAATTATTATTTAGCTGGAAAAATATCTTTACTAAATAAGGATTTCTACACAAACCTAGCTATAATGCAACACAACTAGTATATAAAGTGGGATTTATTTTGGTAAAATCACAATTACAATTTTTTAAATAAAAACTATAAAGTTAGCTAATCTGTGTATAATTACTAATAGCTATACTTAACATGAAAGTTATAGCATTTTTGTTATTAATAACATTCAGTTGTTACGCGATTCGTAAGTATATTAATACTAATTATAATAAATACTACTATTAGTCCAAAAGGTATACTTCAACTATGCTTTAATATTTCTATACCCGTACTAAACATTACTTTATAGTCATATTAAAGCACACTCGAAGTATACCTTTTGTATACTATACCCACAAATATAATTCTAATCAAACCCCTAATTACTGATTATAGAGGACTGCGATGCCGGTGCCGCCGAAATCGTTTCGGCCGCCCGTTCCCAAAAGGGTGTCCCCTATTCATGGGGTGGGGGCTCGTGGAAAGGCAAGTCGTACGGCATCGGTAAGGGCGCCCATACCATCGGCTTTGACTGCAGCGGACTGGCCCAGTATGCCGTCTATAAGGGCACCGGAAAGATCATCGCGAGGGTAGCCTCCGATCAGTATAACGATGGGAAGTGCGCTCGAGTGGCATATAGTGCCAGACAGGCCGGGGATCTGGTGTTTTTCGGTAGCCCTCCCTATCACGTGGGTATCCTATCGGGTGCTAACACTTTCGTGGAGGCGCCCAAAACCGGGGAAGTCGTGAAGGAAATACAGGTTTATTCCACTAATAGACAGCCATATGTTAGGAGGTGTGCCTAATATGCTTGATCATAAATGGTGTGTAAGTATTATGTTACTACTGTATAGCTTAATATCATAAAAATTTGCTGGATAATATTTGAACAATATTTAATTTGAAGTATATTATCATGCTATTTAACAATTTATTATTAACGATTACCAAAATTAACATGCATTTTATGTGTAAATAATGTAAACCTCAAATATTGTTGTAATTTATCATGAAAGCTAAACTTAAATTACTATTTAATATAGGGGTTGTAATTGAGTTTTACATTTGGAATAAAATTAATGATATATACATTTAATAAATTGTCAAAATGTTTACAATCCTCAACTTTCTATCAGGCATAATGAACGTGATAGGTTTAAGGTCATGTCATATTACTTTCAATTTATACTTCAATATAAAAAGAATATAAATTAAAATTTATTATTTATGTTAAAAACAACATTTGTAAAATTATAAATGTTTATAAACTCTGTAAATTTAACACATGTATCTATATCAATTTCAAAATATTATTAATTTTTATTAGAGTTGTTCAATTATTAGAAAATTATTAGATTATGATTGATGATATTCCTTACGTATTGTATGTTGCGAACAAATACAAATAATATATATCAAGCTTGCTTGATTAAGGATTTAAAACATATTTTTAAAAATCATTATTTTTATTTTGGCAATTATATTATTATATTGTATAAGAAATCTAATTTTAGTAAGATCTAATATAATTAATTATATTCTGGTACGCACAAAACTATTATTGTGTAATATTGCAATTAATCACAGTGCGAATAAAATTGAAAGCGGATTTCAAAAATACTATATATACGTAAGATTTTACACCGAACAAATAATTTCTAATCTAATTAAAATTGTTATTTTGTATATTTAACAGACTGAAATAATGAATCAATTAATATGTATCGTGGTCATTGTTTGCGCAGGTATTTATTTGTTTTATTTATAATAAATATATTTTTAAAATTAAAACATAATTTTTAAAATAGTTGCGATTATGGGGACTAAATCTGAACCCAGGTTTTCGGGACCAGTGGGTGACTGTTTGGGACACAAACCTAGTTTTGGTG